CTGAGCCAAACCCAAGAGTGGGGTGCTTAACCAACTAAGCCACCCAGACTCCCTATTCTTTTCCTAACCTTCCTTGAACTTTGTTAATGGAGGTATGTTATTAGATCCTTAGGGAGGCCCATTAATCTCATTCACTGCATATGGAATATATTATTTTAATTTTCATTGGTAATCTTATTTCCAAGGTTTACAAGATACACCATAGTTTCTTTTTTTTTTTCTTTCTGTTTTCTTTCTTTTGTTTTGTTTTGTTTTTCCTTTTTTGTTGTAAATAACCAGGCTGGAGTAACATGAACAGTTGATGACCAAATGGCGAAATCAGGATTTTACAACTCTACTGACCTTTAGAAAACTAAGGCCCCATGGCACACTTTACTTGTTAGTACACAGTGTTATCTACACCTTAAGTAACCCAGTGTTTATGATAGGATACTGCCTGGACTAAAGTCTCCCTTTCTCTTGATATGTGACCCCAGGAGATATGCACCTGTGATTTAATTTTTAAATTCCAATAGGAAATTTATCACCAACTTGTAGTTGTAGTTGTAGTTGTATTTACTCACCAACTTGGAGAGTGCCTCAAAGTGCTGTGCTATATGGGAAAGTTAGGCAGAGACCCAGAGAAACTGGGCTGAGCAGGACACCCACAAAGGCAAAGCCAGCATTTTATCCTCTATTCAGTAAAATGCCTAAAAAAAAATCTGTTCCTCGCCATCATGAATGCTGGCCTCTGTTAGGAAATTCTGTAGAAATGCCACACCAAATTGTTTAAATACTCTAATAACAACTTGCTTTTCTACTTTAAAAAATGTCAGTTTCTTGGGGCACCTGGGTGGTTCAGTGGGTTAAAGCCTCTGTCTTCAGCTCAGGTCATGATCCCAGGGTCCTGGGATCAAGCCCCGCATCTGGCTGTCTGCTCAGCAGGGAGCCTGCTTCCTCCTCTCTTTCTGCCTGCCTCTTTGCCTACTTGTGATCTGTCTGTCAAATAGATAAATTAAAAAAAAAAAAAAGTCAGTTTCTTAAGAATCCTTATCAACTCACCCTTTTATTTTTTCTTAAAAGGGCCTCAGTCATAAAATATATTTCTAAATTAGTCTCCTGCTTTTCCAAATCTCTTTACCCTTAGGCAACAACCCTCAAGACAATTTCAAAGTGTTATTACTCATGAGAGAACACATACCTATCCAGAGTGTGGCCATTCTGTCATATTTTAGTGTCAAACCTCTGCTTTGGTTCTGGTGTTCTGTTTATTCAACTGAAAAGTCAGTGAGTGTCTACTTCAAGTGCCCCCCCCCCGCCAGCTCTTAAGCCATTCCTAGGCCTTTCTCCATCATCAGCTTCACCCACTGGAAAGCCATGCTTGGAAGACTGTGAAGAACTCAACAAGGCAAGGAGGGAAAGCTGAGTTTTAAGTTCAAGTGTATGAGTGAAGCCAGGTAACTCCGAGTTAGTCCATCTCTCCAACCAAAGCCTGCTCAGAAGCTGAGTGCAGGAGGTGCTGGTGGGACCTGCCAAGTATAGTCTAGCCTTGTGGGATAGATCTCAAAGCAATGAACATGACAGACTCTACAAGTCCCCTACAAAAATCTATCCCATTGCTTTGTCACACCTTACCCCTGCCCTGACACATACTTTCATTTTTGCCATGACTGAGGTTCCAGAGCTTGATTCATGTTTATCATCAAATCTTGTTTGTTTTTGTTTTTTTTTTTGAGCTCCTTCATTGTCCAAAACACTTTACCAAATTCTGTTTCTAAAAATGAGGCCTTGGGGGGCATCTGAGTGGCTCAGTGGGTTAAGCCTCTGCCTTTGGCTCAGGTCATGATCTCAGGGTTGAGATCGAGCCCCACGTTGGGCTCTCTGCTTGGCAGGGAGCCTGCTTCCTCCATTCTCTCTCTCTGCCTGCCTCTCTGACTACTTGTGCTCTTTCTCTCTCTCTCTGTCAAATAAATAAATAAAATCTTAAAAAAAAAAAAAAGAAAGAAAGAAATGAGGCCTTGGGGAACCTGGGTAGCTCAATGGGTTGAGTCTCTGCCTTTGGCTCAGGTCATGATCTCCGGGTCCTGGGAGTAAGCCCCGCATCAGGCTCTCTGCTCGGCAGGGAGTCTGTTTCCCCTCTCTCTCTGCCTGCTTCTCTGCATGCTCGTGATCTCTCTCTCTCTGTCAAATAAATAAAATAAAATCTTTTAAAAAAATAAATAAAAATAAAAACGAGGCCTTGGCGAGGGTTCTAGAGAAAAAGAAAATTGGTGAGGATGTAGAGAAAAAAAGAACCTTCATGCACAGTTGATGGGAATACAAGCTGGTGAGGCCACTGAGGTAAACAGTATGGAGGTTCTGCAAAAAATTAAAAAGAGAATTATCATATGATCTAGAAATTCCACCACTGGGTATTTATCCAAAGGGAAAAAACAACCCACTAATTTGGAAAGATATATGCATCCCTATGTTTACTGCAGCATTATTTACAATAACTGTGATATGGAGCCAGCTCAAGTGTCCATCCATACATGATTGAAGAAGTGGTATATATTCACAATGGAATATTACACAGCCATGAAAAAGAGTAATTTTTTTTGCCATTTACAACAACATGGATGGACCTAGAAGGTGTAATGCTAAGTGGAAGAGGTCAGATAAAGACAAATACCATGATATTACTCATATGTGGAATTCAAGAAACAAAACAATGAAAAAAGATACAATAACAACAAAACACTTTTTAAAAAAAGATTTTATTTATTTATTATTTATTTATTTGACAGAGACAGAGATCACAAGTAGGCAGAGAGGCAGGCAGAGAGAGGAGGAAGCAGGCTCCCTGCTGAGTGGGGCTCGATCCCAGGACCCTGGGATCATGACCTGAGCTGAAGGCATAGGCTTTAACCCACTAAGCCACCCAAGGGCTCCAACAAAACACTCTTGAAGTCAGACACTTTACCGACTAAGCCACCCAGTCGCCCCAAAATATCTAAAATCTTTTAGAAACGGACTATATCAACAGTTGGTGAGGAAATGGAAAAACTGGAACTCTCAGCTCCAGCCACACAGTTGCTGGGAATGTAATATGGTACAATCACTTTGGAAAACAGTTTAGAAGTTCCTCCAATGGCTCAATGTAGAGTAACAATGACCCAACAATCCAGAAAAAAGGAAAGCCTACGTCCATATCAAAGCTTGCTCATGAATGTTCATAGCAACCATATTCGTAATAGTAAAAAACTACAAAAAACCCAAGTCTCCATCAACACGTATATGAAAAACACATTATAGTACATCCACACCAAGAAATGATACTCAGCAGTAAAAAAGAATGAACATATTAATATACTTATAAAAAGGAATGAACATATTGCTCTATGTAACAACTTGGATGATATCTCAAAACAACTGTGGTAAGTGAAAAGAAGCCAGACTAAAATAAATACCCACATTTTATACCATTTATATAAAATTCTAGAAAATGCAAACTAATCTGTAGAGAAGAAAGAAAAGCAATGGGTGCTTTGGATAGGGAGATGATTTTTTTTTTAAGATTTTATTTATTTGACAGAGACAGAGAGAGATCACAAGTAGGCAGAGAGACAGGCGGAGAGAGGGGGGAGCAGGCTCACTGCTGAGCAGAGAGCCCAATGTGGGGCTCGATCCCAGGACCCTGAGATCATGACCTGAGCCGAAGGCAGAGGCTTAACCCACTGAGCCACCCAGGCACCCCGGGGAGATGATTTTTGAGGGGTACAGATATGCTCATTGTCTTAAATATGATGATAGCTTCATGATGTACACACATATCAAAACTTATCATAGTGTGTACTTTAAATATTGGCTGTTTACTGTATGCCAATTATACTTCAATAAAGCTGTTTAAAAATGGAAAGTAAGACATTTATTAGATTAAGGAAAAAGAAGGAAAGAAAAAAAAAAAAGAAATGAGGTCTTGCCCTCAGTAGCCTTCCAGAGCATTTGGGGAAAGGATGGCTACAGGTGAAAGTACAGATGTGACCTACTTGTGGGTCATGCACTGAGTGCCACAGGGAGATATCTTCAAGGGCTGGGCACTGGGGCAAGTCTCCTGGAGGAGATAAAATGATCCAGCGGTATGTCTGGGCCTAGGGAGAGGCCGTAGGGAATGAAATCCTGAGCACTGTTCTCAAAGGAGGGAAAAGCATTTATGGACTTGGGCCTGTCCTGAGGGAAGCTCTCCCCTTGGAGTACAACTTCACTCCTGAGGAAAGAGAGGCTTGAAGGAAGAATGTAGGCAGAAATCCCACTTTCATTATAAGAAGCAGAGCCAGCTGCTCTGAGAGAAAGGGTTTACAGATTCCATTTCATAGCTTTTTTACTCTGATGCATCAATCCCCATGGGATGGTACTCCAATTCACTGACTCTTACTAGTACCAGGCGCTTGGCGGGATGCTGAGGACACTGGGAGAACGTGCGGGTTGTTTCTCCGTGTATAGACCGAGCCCTACCTGCAGCCTCAGCATTCCAATGCTACGACAAATACAGCCCCCCGCCCCCAGGCCTCACCCTAGGTAAGACCTAGACTTACCCTATCAGAATCTCAGTGCTGGTCCCGAGACTCTGCTCCCCTTTGCAGAACCCCCTCCGTAGGCAGCTCAAGTCTGAGGACATTGGTCTGGTGGCTGCGGCCTCTGCAGGCTACCTGCAGTGCAGCCATGTTCCCTTGGATTGGAGGCGGACAGAAACACCAGCGCCGGCAGATGGCTGCGGCGTCCGGGGTTCCCCCCTGCTCCCCAGGACCCTCCGCAGTCCTCTCCCAACCTTCCCCCAGCCCCCTCCCGAACCCCCTAAGGGCAAACGGCGGAGCGTCGCAGAGAGGCCCCGCCCCCCTCCCACAGGAGCCCGGCCCCGGTTGTCAGGGGCGAGGAAGCCCCGCCCCGCTCCCACACTAGCCCTGCCCTGGTTGTCAGGGGCGAGGAAGCCCCACCCCCCTCCCACACTAGCCCTGCCCTGGTTGTCAGGGGCAAGGAAGCCCCGCCCCGGGCCGGGCGTGCGCCTTTTCTGACAAGCGGGGCCTCCTGGCTCTAACCCTCAACCCTCGCGGGGCTGCCCTCAGAACCGTCACACGTCCCGGCCCGGCAGGGAGAAAACGACATGGCGGCGGCCACGCCCGACAACCTCTCTCTGGTGGTGCACGGACCCGGAGACCTGCGCCTGGTAAAACGGGAAGGGGGAAGGGAAACCTAGCCCGACCCTGCCCTGCTGGCCTCCGGACTCAGCCGCGGTCCCAGCTCGCCAGTTCCAGCCTGGCGATGGCCCTCACCTCCGTGTCCCGGCCACCCGCATCAGAGCTGGTTACCATGTTAGGGGGAGGGGGCTGTTGGGTGTAAGGTGCTAAGAGGAAGGTTCTTGTCGCGTGCCTCCCCGGAACCCAGCCCCGTGGCCGGCACGTGGCCAGAGCCCAGGAAGTTTGCAAACCGATTGAAGCCTTCTGCCTCCTCCTCCAGCTGCAGAGTCGTAGTCTAGCCCATTGTTATTGCACATCAAAGGAGATCCCAGGAGGCTCCTTGATATAGGACATGCCCTGAACTTCTCTGGGAAGACGGTGCAGGGAAGAAAGGAGGGCCACAGGGACATTTAAAAGCTGTGGGACTCGTGTTTAATCTGTCTTGCGTGGGGCTCATAACTCCTTTGCAGGATTTTTATGATCACAAGAGTACCCAGCACTTAACTAGGTACTCAGAAAGTGCCAATTGCTGCCTCTTTTCCTTCCAGTACCGGCCTGCATCTCCAGGACTCCTGTTGTTCCCTGTTCCTATGCCAGACTTCTGGATCTGGATAGTGTCCATGTCTCTAAAGCTTCTCTCCTTACCGCCCTTAGTCCACACTTGGTTCACTTTCGGCCATTTTCCTCTGATCTGGCTCCCTTGTTTCTTTAAGAGCATTGTGTATATGCCTCCGGGGCACCATACCTTTTCATCTGCTCTCTGGCTCACAGGGCCAAAGTCAGGGTGCTGCAGGATCAGCCCTGTGGTCGCGTCAGGGGTCCCTTGACAAAGTCCATCTCAGATGGGCCTGAGATGGCAGTGGGTGCGTGGGATGGGTGCCAGCCCTCTCTACTGCTCCCTGGTGCTTCCTTCCTCCTCAAAGAGAATATACACAAGGGTCTAGATAGGAGAGACTCAGGAGATTATCCAGACTAGCAGTTCTTGACTGTTTGAGAATCTGTGGTCTCTCTCCCCACAGAATCCAAATAGACTGAGTTTGGCAGCAGTTTCAGAGATTTTTGTGGACTTCCTTTAAGTCCCTCCATTAACTCTCTAGAGGTTTGTGGATCCCAGGTTACAAACTGCTTCCTTGAGCCACTCTCCCATCTTCCTCAGTTAAGAAGGTGCTGCCCAAGGGCGACAGGCTTGATTAGTTAACAGATCCCAGATGAGAGCTCGGGTCCAGTGTTCTCTCCACTCACTGTGGAACCTTACCCCAAGGTCCTGAATTAAAGAGACGCTATTAGTGTTTATTGCTCCCGACACCAGGTGGTATCGTAAGGAAGGCTAAGTAGTACAGCCAAGCGCAGCTTGCAGAGTGATCTCCAACTCAGTCCTTCATTCCACAAACATGTATTAGATGAGTGGGTGTCAGCCATATGCCAGGCACTAGGCCGAGGGCTAGCAGCCCCTACCCTCAAACTGCTCTAGGGAGATAGATGAGATGAACTTAACAATGAGAGTATGAGGGCTTTGATGGAGACTACACAGAGTAAAGCCCTCATAGGGAGGGACCCTTGGCCTAGGAAAGAGATGGATGCTCTAGACCCTTGGCCTAGAGGAGATGGATGCTCCTTGACCTGTATCTTGAAGGATGAGTGGGAGTCATTCAGGCAAATATAGGAATAAGTGCAAAGATACATGAAGTAACAAGATTATAAATCCTGTTTCCTGGATCTGCAAATAGTGGGATGTACTGAATGGAATTTGAACCTGGAGAGGTGGACAGGATCTGCTTCTCCTGCTGCTCAGCCCTGCTTTAAGTCATGGACCTAATATGTAGCAGAACTAAAATTGCAATCCCAGGATCTGCTTTGCCTTAACTCTTAAACTTATGCTCCCCCACTGCTCTGCCACATGACCTCTCTTTGTCATGGCTCTCTAGAGCAAAGCCTTGAAGATTGGAGGGGGTGGGAAGCTGACTTTAAAATTTATTTTATGAACAATAATAAACTTTTTTTAAAGATTGATTTTATCAGCTTTGCCTTAGAATCTGCTTTTTGTATTAGGGAGGAATTGGGGTGGGTGTGTCCTGAAGGCTCTGGAAAAAACAACTGGCTAGAGAATGTTGCCTGTGGTTGTGGGATTGGTACACTGAAAGGGTTCGGGGTGGGTTCCTGAGGGCCTCAGGTCTGTTTGAGAGTAGGAAGTGGTGGGATCGTTTACTAGACAAAAGAGTAGATTAGAATGATGAGATCAGGTTTGAGTTTAAGATGTCTCTGGGACGGGACAGCAAGGTATCTTTGAAAAATTACCTTGGTTCTAGGGATCTGGGATCTATGGATGATTTTTGGGCCAGAGATGTAAATTCAGGAGTCATCTGCTTCTTTACTGAGCAGTCCTGCACCCCCTCCCCATGAGGCATTTGGGAATATGTAAGGGGGGGGGTGGTTGTCACAATGACTGAGGGACAGACTTCATTTGGTTTACAACACTGTCTTCCCCTGACCAAAGTAGCACCCTAGTGGGAGTTCGTAGATGAATGAGGTTGCTAGGCTGAGTGGGACATGCAGAGTGAGAAGGCAGCAAGTGGTGGACATTACCCTGGAGAGAGCCCCACACTCAGGAGAAGGGGCAGAAAGTTGTCCACTGAGAAGAGTAACCAGGGATGCTTGTGCTGCCTCAGAGATGCCTGTGCCTCAACACAGACCCTCTTGGCCCCTCACCGCTCCCTCTAGAGAAGGACCCCCAGCACCTCCACAGAGTCCCCTGATTTCCATCGAGCATCTCTACCCTTCCACCCCCTCCTGTAAGGCAAATAGGTAAGTGGTTTGGGGTTGTTGGGGGTTGGTGGTACTATTAGTAAACAAGGAAGCAACAAGGAGGAACAGCCCTAGGGCAGTTTTGGGAGCGAACACCAGTTCTCCTTTCTGTGGGAGAACCAAAATGAAATCCAAGATTTCCTGGGCATAGCAGGCTGTGGCCACTTGGGCCACATCAGGGTCCACTGATAGAAATGGTTGTGCCTCGGGAGCTCGTGTGAAGGGAGTTGTCTGGGGACAAGCCATTTCTAAAATCTGAAGCAGGATTTAGAAGGGTTCTGAAGCAGTAAGCAAGGGCTCAACCCTTCCTGGTGCTGCCATCCCACTTCAGGCAAGCCCAGGGACCAGTCAGCATCCATGGCAGCGGTCTCTGGGGGACATTTGACCTGGGCCTCTTCAAACTTCCTGCCATCTTTACCTGCCAGGAAGGAAACTTAACGTCTAGCTTCTTCCTACCTATGGAGAAGGCAGGAAGGATTCCCTTTTCTTTCTTGATACTGGGTCTGCAGGGAAGGAAAAATTAAATTCCTTGCCTGCTATGTAGCTAGTGATCCCTTTGGCCACAGCAAGGGAAGGACCCTGGCAGCTCCAGAACTCCCTGGCCTGGGGATTCAGGTCTGCATGGTGCCTTGGCTCTGGGCATTTCTAAATTGGGTGGTAAATCAGAAAGTGTATGTGTGCACACACACACACTGGTTGGTGGTTTATCTTTTATAATGAGGAAAACACAAATATGAGGGGGGGGAGGACTTTTACTTTCCCCTCCCTATTTTAAATAGAGCAAGGGGGAGAGGCAGCCAGCCTGATGTGTCAAAGAGGCAAAAGCCTGTCAGCAAAAAGTGTCAACTCGAAGTACAGCTCACTGAGGTCCTCTTTAAAGGGAAACAATTATGAAGTCATGAGCCAGGTTGAGGCCCAGAGTGGGGTTTAGTGCCAGCTCTGATGTTTAATAGTTGTGTGACTCGCCAGACTACTTTCTGCTTCAATTTCCCATCTGTATAATGGGCATGACAAGAGTTCTCATCTCTGGGTTGAGGACTGAATGGTGTCAGAGAACAAGAATTCCTGACCCCTAAAAGGTTCTAGCTGGACCCCAGATCAAATTGACATAAGACAGACTAACAGGAGAAAGTCAAATTTAATAGTTTGTATATACAGAGAATCCACACATACAAGGAAATGCGAAAGACAGACAAAATGAGGTCTCTGTGTCATTCTGAACTAAGGGGAAAGAAGTTAGGGGCTTGAAACTTCAAAGGGAATGAATGCAATTCACAGGAAGATCAAAAAGAATAAATGTTTAGTAAATAAATATTTCCCTTCCCATATAGATGGATTACTCAGATAAAATTTATTCGTGGTCAAGACCCTCCAATTTAGATTCTTCTTTGTAGTTAAGGGAGGGACAAACGTTTCTCCTGAGCGTGTAGGACCTTGATTGCCTTCAACTCAAAATAATCCACACGCCAAAATGGCCCATTTGGGGGCAGCCTGCCTTCGGTCAGACCTTACCATGAGATGGTGCCTGTAGAAGGCCCAGCATATGGGAGACTAGGGCCTAGGAGAATCAGACATTTAAACCTTCTCAGCATAAGGGTTCTTGGCTGGCTCAGTCAGAAGAGTACAGGACTCTTGATCTCAGGGTCATGAGTTCAGACCCCACATTGGATGTACAGATTACTAAAAAATTTTAAAAAATCATCTCAGCATAGGAAGAGATAAAGACCAAGACCTTCAAATACATGGGTGATTTTTTTTTTTTTTTTTTTAAGTTTTGTTTGAGAGAGTACATGCATGAGCAGGGGAGGAGCAGAGAGAGGGAGAGGAGCAGACTGCTGAGCATGGAGCCCTGTGCAGAGCTCAATCCCACTGATGGGTGAGGTCGGGAACCAGGGGCCAAGAAAGAATTCTTGAGACGTCTTTGGTGCAAAAAGGATTTCACTAAAGCAACTAGGACAAGACCCTGGGGCAAAAAGAGGGGCTATACTGGAGTTGTGAGGAGTGGCTGATTATATACTTGGGGGTTGGGGTAAGGAAAAAGGGAGGTGTCTAAAATGACTTTCATATGCTAAAGAAGGCCCTCAGGATACTAGAGGGTTGGTTGGTTACGTGGCTATTGTTAAGCTAAGGTTGTTTTTCCCTTGGCAAAGAATTAACTTTAAGATAGTTGGAAGTAGGGTGCCTGGGT